AAAAAAAAACAAGAATTTTAACTTACAAATGTCTAAAATATAAAAGGTTATCTAAAATATACAATACAGAAAAGTTACCTTTTTCCTGATGTTTGGCAAATCATCTATAGTTGGATTTTTTATTTCCCTCTTACTCAAACGCAGAATGGGCAGAGGGACCTGGTTGCGCTCAATAGGTGGAGCTGTCCAACCTCTGCATGTTCTCGAGGGTTCACGATGTGGTTTGCAACCTGAAAAAAATTCCAGAAGAGATATTTGTAAAAATGAGCAAATAGAGGAAAATTTAATGCAGCAATCCTACTAATATACAACTGTTCTCGATGATATTAATCCAAACTAAACATGTTCAGAAAATACTTTATATTCTTTATGTACATTACCTGTCTTTGGTGCATTTATAATTTGAAATGAAATGATTTTAAATTCAACCACATCCTTCATATTAAATTGAACTATATCCTTCTTAATTTTGCTTAAAATTTCAATTTTGCTAATTGTAAACCTGGACAATTGGGATAAGAAGTGAGAATCGGAAAGTTATCTATACCTGCAGTAGGGGTGGTGCTACTCCTAGATGTCTCATGTACAGGATCATCAGTCGAAGGTGATGATGGCGGGCTAGGAGTACATTCAGTCAAAGGAGGTGGTATGGATGGGCGACGATTATCACGTTTACGTGTACTACTTCTAATAGGGAAATCAACACCATTTGCTGCACTGGCTGAAAATTTTAGATAAGTAGAGGATCAGAGAGGTGATATGCCTATGGGTATTGTACCACCAGCTGGAGTAAGCGCATTCATATGGAAAACAAAAACAGGGACATCACCTACAGTGTTGTGCTTGAAAAGCTCTACAAAATGCAACAAACATGAGGTCTCTAGCATTTACAGTTCCAGAATTAGAGAAAGTTTTCAGTTTCGGCATCTAATGGGTGCTTCTCCCTTGAAAATGTACTGATTGACCCCAAACTCAAGAAGATGAAAGATGACATTAAATATAACACCTGCCCATAACATTATTAGGTTAGGTCTGTGTAGCTTCTGAAAATCAGTACAAAAAAAATTTATTTTGCAAATTTTTGTGTAATACAAGCCTATACTTTTTTTTTTAATATATATACATGGTATAATGAGGATGATAAAAACAGATAAGTACTAAAATTCATACAATCAAATAACACAACCAACATCAGAACCTTTTTTTTTTAATTTTCACTTTAATAAAAAAAACTTGAAAAAAGCTTGAGAAAAAAAACAGCCTTGTAATGATAAAACTCAAGACAGTTGAGAGAAAGTCACCTACCAAGCCTGCTCAGCTGTGGTAAAAGATGTACCTCAGGCAGCATACAAACTACACTTCCCTTCTCTGCCATGGTACGGACTGCCTATAAATTACAATAAATTATTTCTTCTAAATACTCAATAATGGTAGTTTTAGGGTATCTTCAGAGTGTCACTTATTCTAGTAGGGATCGTAAATATAAACTAAACAACTTACTGCTATACAAAATTATAATAATAAATAATAAACATTATGATGAACAATTAAGACATTTTTAAATTAATACAATGAAGCATGTAGCATATTCACCGTCAAATCCGCGTTATCTGCGTAAATAGCTGTCCTCCTTGCACGCATGGCACCCTTGGATCCTATCTGCTCAGTTGCAAAAGTAAGCTTAAGTTTAGCCTTCTTAAAATGTTTCCCATCTTTGTCTTCATCTTCAAGAATTTTATCTCGCTTCTTTTTAGCTATGTCAGGACTATGCTTCTTTGCAGAGGATCCAGCTGGGACAACGAATAACAAAGGTTTGGCATAGGGTGAATCTTGGTCCTTTGCAATGGCTTGCATGTCTTTTAAATGCCGTGCTAACTGCCTGTCCGTCAGCCCAATTACTCTGGCACCGGCTGTGTAATGACTGATAACATGTGGTACTTGCCTGGCTTTCTGAGCGTAATAACGTGTTATCTCTCCAACTGAGTTCTTCAGCGCAAATTTTGTGATGGCAGAAAAAAACAAACTTTGACGTTTGCTATATTTTTCTCTTTTCTGTAACCTTGCTCTATCAGGATCTGCATTATAAAAAAAAAATTAATAGAAGTGCAGAAGAGGGCAGTTCCAGTAATGTATGTTTACTGTATATGCTGGGTATATATATGTTATAAGACAAAGCCAATCACCAAATGGCTGACCATATAAAAATTAGAGTTTTATATTTTTCTTTTATTCTTGAATTTTTCATTAGGTACATGTACATACAAAGACAACATGCATGGTCTAACAGATTTCATGTCATACAACACAGTGTTGTTAAAAATCACTCACCAGTAAAATATGAAGCTAACGTACCTTCAGCCAGCATATCCAAATAGCGGTCTGTGGCAGTCATATGGTACAGAAATTCATCAAAGTCAATCTCACCACTGCCATCATTGTCTAGTTCTTTAAGAACACTGCTGATTTCTTCCTCAGATAATTCTACGTCCAGTTCCCTCATCAACTTGAAGAGTTCCCTACTATCTAAGCTTCCTCCTCGATCTGAGTCCAAGAGATCAAACACCTGAATTCAGAACAAAAAATGATATATGTCACTCTAAAAGTGAAAAATATAAAACATTTTATCATACCCATCCAAGAAACTAAATATCAAAATAATGGATGCATGTTACTTACCATTTGAAAGGTAAACAGTGATTTCTATTAAAATTGTTTTTTATCTTTCTATTGTAAACATACTGTACTTTAATTATAAAAATGATAATTCTACCATTTTATCACTTATTTATTTGCCCACTTCTTTCAAGTTACAAACCTCCTTAAACATTCTTATCTGGTCATCACTCAATTCTTCGTACCATCCTGGCTTAACTGCACCTATTGGAGTGTTCAATAATATTAAAATTATCAAGAGACTGTAAGGATATTGGTCAAGGGAGTCAGCCATAAACATGCATTTCATCAGAGGTTATAATTAAGTTTTGTGTTTTAATGTTTTGTGCAATTCTTATTCTAATTTTTAGAATGAATTACATGCTAAATTAATACTTATTCTAATACAGTAATAGTACATGTACACTGTAGTAGTGGTACGGACAAATCGATATTGCTACTACAGTATAAATGTAATGTCACTAAACCACCACTTGGACCACGTTACAAAAATGAAAACGATGACAAATTCAAAGCGCTTGGTCTTAAATCCAAACTTTTCATAGAGAACAATTTATACCAAAAGAGCCTAAAATAACAATACAACAAGATTCACCAACCTTTATCATCACCGTCGTCCTTGTCCATCAAAATTTCTTCAACAAACTGAATCTGCAAAAAAAGCGGGTTATTGTTTATTCATATAAAAAATATATATTTAAAATAAACAAAATGCGACTGTCATACAATCGGGAATAAAGCTGCAAAATCACAATAATATTAAAACGGACAGAGAGTTTGGTGACAAAAAACCTCGTTCGAAATGAACTCATACACAAGGTAAATGTGATATCAAATCCACCTACTTTTCGCTCTTTCTTTCCATTTTCTTTGTTCTTTGATCCTTTCCCCTTCTGGCTGTTAGATATCATTTTTCCAAATTTTAGAATGGTACTGCGTTATATCTAAGTTATTGTTGTGCCCATAATGTACCTCATCATGTGCATTTATCGCACATGGTAGATGTAAACAACGTATGACGTCATAATAGAGCTTGCGCATGCGTATAATTTACGTCATCACAAATTTTTTTTCTTTGCACGAAGATATACATGTAACATATAGGCATTGGAAGTTTAATGGTTTTGATCGGGCTCATATCTCATTAATTCGACTTAACTTTTTTATCTTGGTTATTCCTTGTCAATACAAACATCTATTTATGTAGGTCTGAATTTAGGGATTTCAAAAACACAAATGTAAATAGGACTAATAAGTGGGTTTTTGTTTTTTCAAACTGAAAATTTTCCGGGTAGGACCTTCATGGTCCCTAGGTGATTTTTTTCTTAAATCCATAAACACAACCTCCATCCAATTTCCCCAACCTACATGTAAAACTAGTTGTTTTTTTCTTTTGAGTTGATGACAAACCGTTTTAATTTTAAAAGAGAGAGAGGGAGTGTGTGAGAGAGAGAGCCTCCTTTGTATTAACGCATATATAGGCCTATAGAACTTAAATTAGGTCTGTTCAAATGAATGCCCACTACGTTTCGCGTGCACTTGGCTTCTGGAAGTTTCATCACTTCGTTTTTTGAATGCACTCGTACGAAAGTTAATTTGCCCCCTAGCTGCTTGATTAGGCGTCATTCAGTTAATCCAATGAGCTTTCAGTTGCATTTCCTTGGTTAATCTGGTTGCAAACTGCCGCGGAATTGGATCGATTTACGTAGAACGATAATTTCATTGGGGATGCGACCTAAGAGATTACGTCGAATAATGATAAATCGGGTGTTTTCAAGAAAATTTACAATATTTTAAAAATAAACACTGAGAGTTTCACGAAGTAAGCGAACAAGCCTACCGGTCGACATCCTCATCCCAGCTTACATAAAAAAGTTATAAAAAGGTATGATTCATTATGTTTCAATGTTATAATTCAACTTATATATATATTAGAGTATTTTAACTTTATAATAACATTATGATTCACTGCTCAAACGTGAATCTTAAATTATTTTGTGTTAAGACATTTATTTGATAATTATCCTATCATACAAAGAAGTAGGCCTAAATATATATTTTATTAACAAGCATTATAGTAACATTATGTTAACGTTACTATTTCTTTTAAGTTGTTACAGTAAGAGTGCATCAGTACTTTCAAAGTAATCAAACGTGTTTTATTAACGTTGTGACGCTGGTTTTTTTCTAACATTCATCCATCAAGCCTCCTCGGGAAACGTCTATTCAGCCCAATAATTATCATACTTCATTTTCTTACAACGATAATTATAATATAATAAATCTTCTTGTCAATTTATTTTCCAGAAACTCTTGCTTGTTTTTACTGATGGTTTTAAATGGAGACCACGCTGTGATGTGGGATCATAGAACTGCCCATTGGTATTTATTGCTTCGTGGCGACTGGTAGCGACTACCGCACTCAAACTCCAAACGACCCTCTGGGTTAACTAATCATTTAGAATCAATAGTTAACATGCAATTTACCACGCATTCTCAGCGACAAAGTGGCTTTCAGACCTCATACTACAACACGGTTCTTCCAGGTGTGAAAATCTATTCCATGTCGTCACTATCATCAAACCCCATGTTGCCTGGGTAGTTGCCTCTGACTTTCATCGTCACGCTTCAGAAAAGTTATGAAGTACATTTACATCCCTTTTACTGGTCCGGATTAATTCTAAATGTATGTTTCTTGTTATGTGGATTTGTCCCGTGTTGTCATATCATTTTCACATCTATTGAATAAGATAGGGCTAATGCGATTCATTGATTTTCGTTCAAAGAAATGACCATTAGAAAGAAGACAGGTGCTCAGATTTACTCTTCCGATTAATTATCATTGTATTTGGGCTTTTATTATTTACCATAGTGTGTAGAATGTCCCATTTCCTTTGTGCACCTAAAATAAAATCAATCTTTCCAACGATGGATTAGTGCGATACATTAATGCGTTTGGTTGCTTCCGTTGATATAACGCGTTTTTCCCATAGGTAAAGTTGACGGAGTTATCGCATTTGAATTTACGTCCTGAACAGATAATCATAGCTGTATTACCGGTATTAATACCAGGTGAAAAGCCCTTGACAAAAAATTGTATTTATCTTTTCAATTTTTATTGATGCACTAGTGGCAGTTGAGGCCGTGTAAGGACGAACGCGATTGGCTGTTGAAGGTTAAAACGTTTATGAAGCTTTGCTATTGACGGTGTTTGTATGTCAACAAAACTCCATCATGCTCTGCCATTATTCAAGTGAAATGAGTGGCAAAGCAAACAGGGTGAAGTACAGCGTATTCATTAGACCTTAACACTCAGCAACAACGGACTATTTACATCAGTTTGGGGACCTACTGGTTGAGGCTATGACACCCATAGCACAAGGGGATTGACATTTACAAGTGATACTCGTACTTCTACAAGATGTTCACACGGTGACATGTCACCTTTTTAATCAATCTGGTGGTGTGTTGACATTTTATCTACGGGTTACCAAGGAATTATCTTATGTGGACTCCTAATTTGAGATGAACTGGGACACGTGTTATTTTAGCCAGTTGGAGGTAAAACCCATAGCGTTTATGATTTAGCTATCTTTAAAAATGACTGGTAAAGGAGGGAAAATGGACTATACCATCAATACAGCCATCAAAAGAGGCTTTTTCCAACAGGTGCGTTTCCTTATAGAGCTTGGGTCCGATGTGAACGGAAAAGACGAAGATGGTTTAACGCCATTGATACTTTGTGCAATGATAGAGGAAGAGGAATGGGGAGTTGGTCTTTCGAGACTCTTGTTAGAAAAGGGAGCGTCGGTAGGTTTTCGTGACAAACGAGGACTTAATGCTCTACATTACGCCTGTCTTTACCAACGTCTAGAACTGGTTCGTGTTTTTCTATGCGCAATTGACTACGACCTAAATCAGGGAGATAAATTTGGAAATACGGCGTTACATTACGCCGTTTCTGTTGGTAACGTTGACATTACACGGTTACTGTTAAGAACACTGCAGAAATATGGGATGACGGTGGACAAACCCAACCGACGTGGATTTACTCCTCTCATACAAGCATGGAGCACTGGTCGCGTCACCTGTGCACAAATTCTTGTAGACGAGGGGCACGCAGACCAAGAGACCGCCGACAAAGTAGAGGGGAAAACTGCTAAAGAGTGGGAAACTGAAGTTTTAGCCAAAATGAACAAACTTGTGATCAATCCCAAAGTAAGACGCAATAGACCAAGTACCGCGTCACGCGTGTCATCTGCGCCAATTTTACGTCGCCGGAGACCAAGCACCGCGATGAGCTTAAGGGGTAATCGGAATGCACCTGACAATGGACTCCTAGTCAATGTAGAAAAAACAGACATGTTAATCCGCAGTGCCAGTTTGTCAGACTTGAGAAATAACCCCGAATTCGTTTTTAAACTATCTGCCGTGGACTATTTCAGTCAAGAAAATATGAATGACTTCCAACCCCAGTATGGAGAGGGTTATGACGGTTTCCAAGGACATTATCAGAGACTAGCCGTAGACGGTAATTGGAAAGGCGAAGTGAAATCTCTTTTGCACGAATTTCAATTCCAGTGCTCTCCCTCTTACAGGGACAGTATAAAACCACCTCCTCCGCGACAATACATTCGTCCCACAACGCCCCCTAGTCAACTCTCCGACGGTGAAGTACCAATGTCTGATCGGGGAAGCGTAACTGGACGTAGGTCAATTGCTGGACCCCGTGGTAAGAAATTAGAACGTCAAACGTCCGACGCGAATATGTCTCGCCGCGGGTCTGTGGTAAACCTTGGTCCAGCAGGGAGACGGAAAAATTCCATCGACGCCGGCAATTTGCCTCCTGGTTCCAGAGGACAGCGCAACAAAAGAGGAAGCGTTGACATTGTACAAGAAGAGTGTGATTCTAGTCAAAGTGGGGGATCAGCAGGAAACAAATCTGGGCTATCAGATTCCGCCAAAGCTAGTACAAATAGAAAAGAGACCGAGAATGCCAAACTTCCCCCTCGACCCGTAAGCAGAACTGGGCAGTATCGGAATAACATACCAGTGGTCAAGGAAACAAAAGTGGATAGTGATCGGACTCAACTGGATAACGTTTATGAAGAAGATGACCCAAACTATTTGTCACCATCACGGGCCTAGCTAATTATTATCATCATTATTATTTACTGATAAAAATGCATCTTCCATCTTAAATCCACAATGTCAACATGTTTTTAGGACTTGTTTCTAGATTTGTTTGACATCATACAGTACTTATGATTTCGGAAAATGTTCCGACGGCGGGGTCCATAATACTTTCACATATTTTAGTGCCATTTTACACACGTTTTAAATGATATCCGCAATCAAATAATTTTGGTTATTGTATTCAATCACTTTTTTGTGCGCATATTAGTTTTGTTTTTCGTTGGATTTGGAGTCATTGTACATTATTTTAAAGACAGGTCAAAGTCTTTGGTACTTTAAGCAACCGCCAAGTGTACGTTCTGCAATTTTACATTTAATTACATAAAAAACTTATAATAAAACGAATAATAAATCTAGTCGTATGTATTATACGTACAGCCAAGGAATGAAAACTAGAAATCAAAAAGACAAACAAAACCAAAGTGAGCATTTATAGATGTTTTGTGTTTTAAAATATTTTTTCCTTAAAAAAGGGTGAATTTTTTTACGATGCGAGTCATTAGAAAGCGCTGTTCGACTTTTTTTTACATGACTTTTGGTCTAGGCTCTACGTCTGTGGTATGTAAAATATTATAAACCTTTTATTGTACTAGGTCAATTCATTATGCCTAGGTGTTCAGTATATCCCCCTTTTCTGTTATTTTAGTTGTGAACTAAATTCAGTAAAATGACATTAGCTGTATACGTTTATCAGGATTTGATCGTAAATCGATACTTTTCTTTATTCATGTGGTAGGTTTTTGGTCTCTGAATGAGAATGTACAGGGCATTTGTCTTGTTTTTATTGTGATATTTCAGTAGTTTTTGATAAAATGTATCACAATATGCTGAACCCCGGTCTTTTTCAGTCTTGCACGTTTCAACCTACAGGGCCGATATTCGAATAAGACTGTTTTACAAATAAAAAAGAAAGAATGAAACGATCAGTTGTTGTGTTTATTTAATCCTTTATTAATGGTCTTAGCTGAACAAGACATTTCTTTGAACAAGAATTGTCAATATTTTCGAAAGAACATTGATGATTGTAATTGAACTAGCAGCCATTTGAGTAGGACAAGTAAGCAGTCAGGTTCTTTATTCTTTGGCAACAATCAAAGCAGTGGCTGTCGGCTACGCAATTTCTTTTCGTCTGTTTGGATCAAAACACAAGACCCTAAGTCAATTGACTGAGCACATGTAACGGATAGGCCCTCGAGTGAAGTTAATATAACCATATTGATCCTGCAAATATTCTCATGGACATTTTAAAATGCTTAACCTATGAGGAGAGGCATGTTACTTTGTTTTATAAAAGAAACGAAGTCGCTCTTTTTCAAATAGTTTTTTCTTACGTTGTTTAGTTCGCTAACTTTTCCTTCTTTCCATAAAGTTCTTTTCTTATATTTTCTGGTTCCTTTAATTGAGTTTCTTCATTTCGATCTTAAGAGTTTATCTAGTTCATCAGTTGCAGAGCGGCTGACGCACTCATGAAAAGAAATACGGATTCTTCTGGCACATCGTCCGGTGCTGGCACGCTGTCTCGCGCATTCAATAGCACTCCATTGCAAATCAATTTTGATTAACATGTATAGATGAGCTTGAACTGCTCTCTTCTATGACAAGCCTTCTTTCAGTTCTGCCACTTGTCGGCCTTCTTCACAGCCCCGTCTTGATTTTGTCTTGATCTCTTCTCAGGTGTGGTGGAAACTTTTTCTTTGATGCTGCTAATTTTGGAAACTTGTGTAGTAGTGCCTTACATTCAGCAGTTGCTGGTCTCATGGGTCGTTCTTCCAGTTCATGCCAATTGTTATGGTCAGCTTATCTCTATACTGCCAGAGATATTAAAGTCAATTTAGACATATTTACTAGAGTCCTTAATACATTTTAACTGAAACTGATTTTAAGTTACTCATACCTTTTAACTGAAAGCATTCTTTTAAACAGTGGATAACAGTTCTTTCTAAAGCATAAAATGCATTATTAACAGATTCAGGTAAATCATTATAACTGAGACGTCCTAACAATCCTTTCATTGGAGGTCTTTTTGTCTGAGCTTTTTTTCTGAATTTGATTTAAGACTAGAATTATGTCTTCACGATGACCTTTGTCATTAGCCGTCGTACGTGATTGCTTGTTTCGATGTATCCAAATAACATGTTTACAACTCCTTGGGCCTTCTGAAGTGCATTCAGTGGGCAATTGACTTGCTTTGAACATGAGATTCAAAAAACATAAAATGAAAGTATTCAGAGAGCCAAGCAACTTGCAAAATTGCAAAATGAGATGTTAAAACCCAATACATTAACAAAATTACACAAATACGAGCCTTTGATATAGCCTATAATAGGCTCATGTTTGAATGAATATGTGGCTGTATTTTAATTAAGAGTTATATACTTATTTGAAAAAGTAATAAGTGAGGCAATTAATTAATTAATTAATTTTAGTTAATTAATTAATTTATCATCACAGAATCAAATGTTTCTCCCTTTGCCCATTTATGACCTATCCTGAAAATTTTATCAAAATCTGTACGTAATTAATTAATTAATTAATTGCACTAAATATCAAATCAGTTCATTCTAGAATCTGAAACGAAAATCTCTATCGCCATCGCTGGACAATAATTAACCGCAAACAAACAAACTCACTCACAGACTCACAAACGTACAAACAAGCAAAAAAAAAAAAAAAAAAAAAAAAAAAAATTGGGGGCAAGTCATACCCCTGCCTGCACCATTCCCCTTATTTTGAAATAAAAACCTCGCTGTAATCTACATGTAAGTGAATTAGGTACTTAGTGATCGAATCATTTATCTTTTAGCAATGGCAGTTCTTTAGAATTACTGAGAAGCGATTAGACGCGATTTTGCAGAAACACATGATCAATCATCAAAATTCGAGCGAAAGGCTCCTCTTGCAGATGAATGCATGGCTTCTTTTGTAAATAGAGTCAAATATCGTACAGGGCATCAGAGTTGTTGTGACCATGCAATGTGAAACAACGTAAAAAGCTCAGGGTTTTTTCGAGAGGTCACCTGCTTGTGATTATGTTAAAACAGTCCACCTGGACTAGACAGCACTTACTCAAAACATTTTTAAATAAAATGCCATTCTATGCAGTAAGAACTGGAAAGAGACCAGGAGTATACAATACGTGGTATGTATCACAGTATCAGGACTAGGGTCGGGAGGCAGGACGTGCTACTTTTAGTACTGTTACTGTTGGTGTTACTGTGTGTGACTTCACATAAGTACAGTTCAGACACAACGTATTTCCATTTCATTCGACATCCGACATTTACTCCTTCAGGCATGATCTGAAATTATATATCATGATTTCTTTTCTGGTTGACACGTGCAATGTACTGTACCTTAAAGTCATAATAACTCTTCATTTTGGCCAAAAATTGGATTTTCCTTGAGTAAACGGCAATTTTCCCGTACTTACCAATGGTCAGCGACCCCATTCCTGCATTCAAAGTTAATCCAGGGTTTTTTTTCCTAAACGTACGGTTTTTTGTTGCTCATGCAACTTATAATGCACTCCATTCTGCGCAGTAGTTTGCTTTCTGGCTATTTGACTTGCGGTACCTCGTGCCTGGTGGCCTTATGTCCCACACGGGACAAAGAGAAATGATGATGAAGATGACCTCATGCCTGCAGAAGTCTGTTTTGTTTTAATTTGGTGGTTACTAAATTTCATGATGGCCAAGCAGATTAATCTTACCTTACTGTTGGGAAAACTTGTCGGCTTTACAGGAGTGTGCGAGTTGAGGAGATGAGAGGCAAGATAAAATTTGAGAGCTCTCACATCATGGTGGATGCCCAAACTGTTGTCATTTTTTATGTACAGACACGGATGTGTCTGTACATATAGCCATCATCTGCGTCTGTCGTCGCCGTCGTCGCTGTCGTCGCCGTCGTCGCCGTCGTCGCCGTCGCCGTCGCCGTGCACTTTTACCGATAACACGATAAGTGGAAAACCATTTTGCCTTTTGATTTGAAACTTGCAGAAGTGATGAATATTCATAATACGCAGGTCAAGTTCGAAAATCAGCATGATCGGGTCACTCTTAGGGAATTTATGCTGTTTTTTCACTTTTTTCAACATATATGCAGCACCGATAACACGATAAGTGGAAAACCATTCTACCTTTTGACTTGAAACTTACAGAACTGATGAGTATTCATAATATGCAGGTCAAGTTCGAAAATCAGCATGATTGGGCCATTTTTAGGGAATTTATGCTGTTTTTTCACTTTTTCAGCATATATGCAGCACCGATAACACAGTAAGTGGAAAACCATTTTACCTTTTGGCTTGAAACTTACAGAACTGATGAAAATTCT